ATGCAATGGAATCATATACAGTGTATCACATGCTACTCGGTGCTTTTTTTTTCAGCTGAAACATGCAAGGACACAAGAAAGTAGTACTTTCTCGACCTGTCAAACGATTCCTAATCAGCTGCGCCTCCCCAGTGAGACCCGACAGTCCTTGAGCACCCTGCTTCCCCCATTCATCTTTTTATTTATTATTATTTATTACAGGTACTTGTATAGCGCCATAAATTTAGGCAGAGCTTAACATATACTGTATATTGTACATTCACATCAGTCCCTAATCCTCAAGGGGCGTACAATCTAAGGGCCCTAACTTACTGTAAGGGAATTCCTGTACAGCAACTGGCGCAAAGAAATGTGCATGTGTGCAACATTGCGCATAGATATAAGCACAGGCGCATTGTTGATAAAAATGAGCATAGGCACGTGCATGCGCTCAAGAATGCGTGCACATGGGAACACACACGTGGAAGCATGCCCACAGTTTCTGGCGCCACACAGAATATTTAAAGGAGGCTCTTACTCTCTGTAAGTGCTGACTAGTCTTCAGCTATTTCCTTGTGTTCTGTTGTATCCTGTGTGTATCCATTACTGACCCGGCTTGCCATTGACCTGCTCTTGGATCCTGTTTATGCTTCTGCTCATCTGTTTCTGATCCTGGCTTACTCCTGACCTCATTCCTGTCTGATGTTTCAGTACTTCATCGCCTGCTCGTTGCTGACTCTGGCTATCACTCTGACTACACTTTCGGCTCCAGTTCGGCTCTACAGTCCTGCTGAATGATTGCCCTGGCTGTCTATCATATCAGCTCTGGTTGTTACGGTGTGTTACGGCCTCACGCTTGTTAGAAGTTTTGGCAAGCCAGGCATCCAGATCTTACAGTTCCAGTGGAGTGCTCCTTTAATCTTAGCTGGTTGTTCCTGCATCTCCTCTGTTCCTGACCGCATGCCCTGCCTGATTTACCGAGTTTACACCTCCAGCCACAAGTTTTCTGATCAACAGATCAGCATTTGCAGACACTCGTGTTCCTCCTGTCCCTCGGCACCATCTGTTCCACCTACAGTGGGGCCTGGGCTGGAGATACAAGAGAGGCCGACCATCTCATCAATTCAGACTTCTATCAGGTACGTGACACTTACATTCATACATACACATACTAGGGCCAATTTAGACAGGACCCAATTAATCTACCAGCATTTCTTTGGAGTGTGGGAGGAAACCGTAGTACCCAGAGGAAACCCTTGCAAGCACAGGGAGAACATGCAAACATCTGTCACCCAGTCCCCTAGGTTACTGCCAGTCCCCTAGGTTACCCAGTCCCCTAGGTTACCCAGTCCCCTAGGTTACCCAGTCCCCTAGGTTACCCAGTCCTCTACTGCTAATCTCAATCATCTTGACATGGGGGCCTTCCATAATGCTCGAACCAGGGGTTCTTGGGAAGGAGGATGGGTCACTAGTCATTATTAAATGAAAAAAAAAGGAAAGAGAGAATTAATTGAGTATCTACAGATCCAAGCTCTGAAATCGATCACAGGAATGGATCAAGTGAACTCAAGAAAAATGAATTTGAAATATTCACTCATTTCAGTATTACATTGCAAATAGATAATAACCTCTCAATAATTTTACATCACCATTTTCTGGTTTGGCTGTGCAACTTTTAGAATCAACTTTCTCCCACCAACCTCCTCATTGGACAATACTGTTCTCGCCAATGAGCAGGCTGATAACACACGAAGCTGTAAACCTAACCCAGGTACTAGCACTATCTTCTCCATGGCCACTCAGTTTTTTAAAGGTGTGTGATTCACATGACTGATTGAACAGAATGATACAGTTCACAAATATAACGTATATTTCAGCTACATACTTAGTTGTTTTCTTGAAATTTTTGCTTTATTGTATAACCATATTTTTTTATATTCATGTTGCTTTCCCCCTTAAAGGGACTTTGTCATCCGAGAATAGCTATTGAGAACTAAGGTACTGTACTGCAAAAAAATGCTTTATCTATATGTAGAGCTAAACCCAAAGGGGTTGCTGGTAATAGCTGCTTCTTCTCAAATAGTACAGAGGCTGCCCAACACCACAAGCACCAATCCCATTCACACTGGCTCCTATAGCACACTCTAGTGGATATTGTTTTGATATTTATTGAATGAAGAACTTTAAACAGGAGAGGGGTCAGGGCACGGGATACTCCAAAAACTATCAACAACAGCAATGGGAGGACAATCATCCCTACCATCTATACCAAGCCTTTTGGGTCTGGTATGGATTTTGAGGAGAACCCCCACGCAAAAAAAAAAAAAAAAATGGTGTGGGGTCCCTCCGACAATTCATACCAGACCCTTATTTGAGCATGCAGCCCAGTCAGGAAAGGAGGGGGGACGAGCCAGCACCCCCCCTCCTGAACCATACCAGACCACATGCCATCAACATGAGGGGGTGCTTTGGGGCGGGCACCTTGTCCCCATGCTGATGGGGACAAGGGCCTCTTCCCCACAACTCTGGGGTGTGGCTGTGGGGGTCTTCGGGCGGGGGGCTTATTGGAATCTGGAAGCCCCCCTTTATCAAGGGGGCCTCCAGATCCAAGCTCCCCCCATGTGAATGAGTATGGGGTACATGGTACCACTACCCATTCACAAAAAAAAGCTGTAGTTTGAAAAAAGACAGGAGACAGTCTTTGACAAGTCCTTTATTAAAAGAAGGAAAATAAAAGAATGTCCCTCGAAGTAGATCCAATGTCAATCACGCCTTTTTCACACTACATTTTTTTTTTGTGAATGGGTAGCGGTACCATGTACCTCATACTCTTTCACATAGGGGAAGGGGAGCTTGATCTGGGGGCTCCCTTTGCTAAAGGGGGATTCTGATTCTGATCAGACCCCCACAACCACAGCCCAGAGATGTGGGGGGATGAGGCGAGATAAAAGCAAACAGAGGGTGCACCGGTCTTGTGCATTACCTTTAAAAAATGTATTTAATAATGATAAAAGTAGGTATTTTACTCTCAAAATGTCAATAGTCAAAGGTACATAATGAAAGAACCGCTTTGGCCAATCCGCACTACGTGTCTGTTCGTAATGGGAACTCAGGATCTCCAACAGGCTGACGCGTTTTGAGGACTTGTCTCTTTCTCAGAAGGGAAAGAGGCCCTTGTCCCCATCAACATGAGGTCAAGGTGCTTTGGGGGGAGCCCCCCCTGCCCCAAAGCACCCCCCCATGTTGAGGGTATGTGGCCTGATATGGTTCAGGAGGGGGGGTGCTTGCTCATCCCCCCCTTTCCTGACCTGCTGGGCTGCATGCTCGGATAACGTTCTGGTATGGATTTTGAGGGGACCCCATGCCATTTTTTAAAAAACCTTTTGGCTTGGTTTGGATGGAGGGGGGGACCCTACGTCATTTGTTTTATTATTTTGTAATTGCCAGCTTTTTTTTTTTAGCCCCACTGACAGCTGATTACTCATAGGTTGTCTCAGTGCCCTATTTTTTTCTCTGTTGGCTAATAAAAACTGCCAAAGCTCAAAAAACGGCTAAAAACACTGTATAAAAATGCAGAAAAATCACGGTAAAATATACGAGAAAAATCAGACGTGAATGGAGCCTTACAGCTGTAGACCATAAAGCAACTCTCTTTGGCACCTGGTTACCTTGCGCCACTGCACAACTATTAGTACCCAATTACCAGGGTGCTGTATAGTAACATGGGGACACTTTCCTCTAGGCTCATACTCCAGGATTTTGCTGAGAACAGGGAAACAACCAGTACTTTGAGACCTATGAGAGCTGTCTCAAGCTACGTATGGCACTTCTACTGTCATTTTACGCGGCCTACCACTTCATGGCTGAGTTGCTGTTGTTCCCAGTTTCTTCCACTTTGTTATAATATCATTAACAGTTGACTATGGAATATTTAGTAGCAAGGAAATTTCATGGATTAACTTATTGCTCAATTGGCAACCTATCACGGTACCACACTTGAATTCACTGAGCTCCTGAGAGCGAGCCATTCTTTCCCAAATGTTTGTAGAAGCGGTCTGAATGCTCAGGTGCTTGGTTTTATTTTTTTTTATTTTTTTTTAATGTAATATTTTTTTTTAAATAGTTATATTCAAACTCCAAGGTAAGTTTTTTGTTGTCACTAGTATGCCACCCACTGGTGCCCTCTGAGTAGGGGACCCCAGGGAAAAGTCCAAGGGGAAAGTTGCCCACTTTATGTAGATCTAGTGTTGAGTTTTCACAAGCTTCAGTGTATCTAGGGTGATGTATGTCTCAATGTCTAATTTTAAAAGGCCCTTTCCAAAAGGTCCTCTGCATATCCAAAGATTTTATGTATATGCTGCTTGTATTGATGGAAATAAACCCTCCAAGCTTATAAATGGAACCTCTGCCATATACAGCCCAGTCCTCTAGACAACTCACTGACTTTGTTCTTGTATGAAACCTTAAAATTCCCACTTTTTTTCTTTTGCTTTGATTACGATATATTGGGGAGAGGGGTTGTACCATAGTGGCTTATGACTTTGTGGCTTCTACCTGTTTCTAAACATCTGCTTTAAAGCAGTTGTAAACCTCAGACATGGAATATGAACAAAGCATATCCCTCTATAGTGTGTACTTATCTCAATCAAGAGCACTAAGTATAATTTCTGTCTGCTGCGTTGTTCCTCTGTTATCAGCATGAATCACTTCTGACAGGTTTTCCTGACACCAAGGTAAAAATGGTGACTGTGGATTGATAGCCTCAGCTCTGTTCCTGTGTGCTGAGTGGAGAGAGTATGTCTCTTCCCTCCAATCAGCTCTCAGACCTCTCCTCACTGAGCTTTTCAGTGTGTAATTTTAGCTCTCTACCCCCTGTTTCGGAACTCTCAGGACAAGCTTTATAAATTCTGGACTTTGATCAGCTGTGTAGAAGAGAAGACTACAGATAAACAGGTACAACATATGTAGAAGGGTTGGTTTCATTTCTCTGTATAGTCATTTCACTTGGTATATTTAACTGTTTACAACCACTGTAAGTAAAATGTGATAATTTGTGGCATACCTTCCATAGATATGAGAATAAAAGCATCTCCTCCTTTTAGGAAGTCCCTTCTATAAAGCCATTCTTCAGCCTTAAACAGGAACTGTCCATACCCACCAGTCTTTCTGTAAGTGGTTCCATTAGGGAATAATGAGAAACTTCCTACCACTGCAGGATTATTCCATAACAATGTGTTGGAACCTGGAAGCAGACACAGTTATTTTTCAACATCTGTAATCTTCCTATTCTTTTAAATGCGTTTTTTCATTTTTATTAAGGTAAATGTATGCAATTATTTTTTCTTAGATATACATGTACAATGCAAGAGAGACCAGATTTATTTAAATACACTTATCAATGTGTAAAAAACATTTTTAAAACTTTGTTTCTATGTATACCTTACAGTTATATATCTACAGTGCATGGGGGAAGCCATATTTGCTCATAAACAGCTAAATAATATATCTATATACTCAGGGTCGTGGATAAGGGGGTACCACCAGTCCTCCTGTTTGGGGCCCAGGCCAGGAGGGGGGCCAAAGCAGCTGATTGAATCAGATGTGGGCAAACAGGGTGGCTTCTTCTCCTCCTCCTCCTGGCCTTCAGCTGCTCCAGAGAGAGCCATACAGGAGGTTGGTTCCAGTAATTGCCCCCACCACAACCATCACCTTCCCTGTGCACCATACATTTCCCCCTGCTGCCCAGGTCCCCCTGTGTGCCCCCACCCCCACAGTGCTGCTGGCTTCCCTCCTCTTCTTTCCAACGACATCTGCGACCACACAATAGGATCCTTTAGGATGGAGAGTGGGGGAAGGGTCTGGTAAATATGTCACATTTACCAGCATTTTCCTTTCCTGAATGAACACAATGAATGATCAGTAACAATCACTCACTGTGTTTATTCGTAACCAAACCTCTTTTTTTTGTGGTGGAGGGGCCCTGTCAGGTTTGCTGTATGGGGTCTTGTGGTTTCTAACAGCAGCCATATATATATATATATATATATATATATATATATATATATATATATATATATAGAGAGAGAGAGAGAGAGAGAGAGAGAGAGAGAGAGAGAGAGAGGGGGGGGGGGGGGAGAGGAGAGAGAGAGAGAGAGAGAGAGAGAGAGATCTTTATATATAATTATATGTACTGAAATAAAAATGTTATTTTCCCTTACAAAGGTGTTCCTTTTCCATCCCCTTTGATTGAGTGAAGCATTGGAGACAATAGCTACAGTAATGATACATTCACCTAGAAAGGAGTTTCAAGGGATATTGTACATATTGCCAAATACCCAGTTTAACTGCCCTATTGCAATGAAGAGGATATTCAAATTCTGCTGGGATGCAAGGATCTTGGCCTCTTTAATATCTTGGTGTTTGCCAGGTCTAAGGGTATTTGGGGAGGAAATATTCAAGCAGTGTTAGTGGAGGAGATTTTGGACTGCATATGACTTTGTGTTATTAATGCTTTGTGGAAAATCCAATAAGATTTAAGCTTCAGGTGCAGGAGTTCCCTCTGACCTCAGTTGATCAATTTATTGAAATGAATTCTAATCGCCCTATAGCAAATACCCCAATTTAAGAACGGTTTACTGGATTTCTCTTTGGATCAAGAAAGGAAAATAATTCCGAGCCAGGAAGGGCTGACGGAGATCCATAAACCTTCCGAATAGGGATGAAGCTATCTCTGTACTGGCCATTGGTCTGCAACTTAAAAGATTCTGTAATTTTAATAAAAGAGAGCTGCAACAGTTATATAATGCAGACACCTAAAGCTGCCCACGCTTATTTTACTTTCACTTTTGAAACAGGACACATATAGAGGGCGAATCTCCTTTACGGGGACACAGGCAGCAATAAAAACTAGACAGATGTTCTAATCCCTCTCCACTCTATTCCAAACTAAAACAAAGGTTTGCATTTAGTTATACCTTAAGATCACATACACACTGGGTGTTTAGCAACTATGCATGACACTCTTGTTTTTAGGTGTGGGCAGAGAGCACAGGTGCAACCATCCAGCCCTGCTTCTGGCAGCCTGTCAAATTGTACGAAAGGCTGAATGCAGTGGCTGGACATTGAACCTGACAGAACGAATAGTTAAGGCAGTGTGGGTCCAGGGCTAAATGCACGGTACATATTTGTCATCAGTACGGTATAAAAGTGAAAATAAGATGAAGAATCATACTTAGTCTGCTTTATAGAATAGAATAGAATAGAAACAAATACTGTAGAATAGGTTAAATGGAATAGAATAGAAAATAAAAGAATAGAATAGAAAAAATAGAATAGAAAAGAATAGAATAAAGCAGAGGATAATATAAAATAAACGAATAGAATAGAAAATAAAAGAATAAAATAGAAGAGAATAGATCACAATGGAATAGAACAGTATAGAATAGAATACAAAAAGAATAGAATAGCAAATAAAAGAATAGAATAGAATGAAAAATAATGGAATGGACTAGAACAGAAAAAAATTAAATAGAATGTAATAGAAAATAAAATAAAAAAATAGGAAGCATAGAACAGAATAGAATTAAATAGAACAAATATAGCCGCCTTCTGAAATTCAAATCGATTTAACAAGAATAAATATATGAAACAAATTCTGAAAATTAACCATTCTATATCCTGCTTGAAGTGTAAAACTAAAACATTCCCTAATATCTCTGATACTGCTCACATCAATGCACTGCAGTAGCGCACATTACCACAATAAGCAGTAAATACGGATTATAATCATTCATTTTGAATGGCACCCAAATGCACCCTCACAACTTGTTTTTATTGCAACACTCTGTAACAAACCATTGTGCGATGCGATAAAAAATACAGCAGGTATTTTAGGCCTCTTGTGGTGCATTAGGCAACCTATTCAAATAAATATCTTGCTTTAATGCAACACACATCAACACATGTGCGTTACATGCGCTGCAACAGATCTGACTGGTGTGAATCAGCCTTCAAGGGAGCAACACAATTGTCATGGTTTGGGTTTTGATAGGACAGATAGCCTGCAGTTACAAATTCTACCTACACCTACTATTGTGGGTGTGAACATAAAATAAAATAGTTCTTTGATGAAAGACAATTAATTTCACTGCTCATACTTCTGTCCTCCATATGCATTAACACATTGGAACAGGGACAGGACTGATGGACTGTGAAAGGTAGAGATGCCTCATCAGTGGTGTATTTAGATTTTGTGCTGCCCCCCCCCCCCCCCCCAATGAGAGAACGAGAGAGTCAATAAGTGTGTGTGTGTGTGTGTGTATGTATATATGATTCTCTCTCTCCCCCCCCCTCTCTCTCTCTTCCCTCTCTCTTTTTCCCTTCCCTCTCTCTTTTTCCATCTCGCTCTCTTCTCTCTCGCTCTCTTTCTCCCTCTCTCTCCCCCTCTCTTTCTCCCTTCCCTCTCTCTTTTTCCATCTCTCTCTCTTCCCCCCCCCCCCTCTCTCTCTCTCCTCTCTCTCCCCCCACCATCTCTCTCCCCTATCTTTCTCCCTCTCTTTCCCTCTCTCTCTTCCCCCCTCTCTTTCCCCCCTCTCTTTTCCCTCTCTCTCTCTCTTCCCTCCCTCTCTCTCTTCCCTCTCTCTCTTCCCTTCTCTTGCCCCCCACTCTCTCCCTCTCTCTCACCCTCTCTCTGTCTCTCTTCCCTCTCTCTCTCTTCCCTCTCTCCCTTCCCTCTCTATCTTCCCCTCTCTCCATCTCTCTCTTCCCTCTCTATCCCTCTCTTTCCCGCCTCTCTCTTCTCTCTCTCTCTCCTCTCTCTCCCCCTCTCTCCTCTCTCTCTTCCCTCTCTCCCCCCTCTCTCCCTCTATCTCTATTCCCTCTCTATCTCCGCCCCCCTAAAAATTTGCCGCCCTAGGCAAACGCCTTGTTTGCCTCGTGGTAGATATGCCCCTGTACCTCAGGCTGGGTTCATACCAGTAATGTATGAATCAATTAGTGCTAGTGTGCACTGACATATTTTTGAAGCAGTTTGCATTTAGAATTTCCATCAAATGACTTGAATCATAAAATGAAGATAAAAAACATCCCAAATACAGCAAGACAAACCATGACAAAATTCAACTCATTGATGCAAACAAGTCTTACTGAAAAACAATGTTTTTTTTTTTTTACATTTTGTTACATTTTTAAATTCTACAAAATGCATGGACAAGAGAAAATATGTTGTTCTCCACGTATAATTGCATTGCAGTGCATTGTGTCTAGTGTGACAAGCTCTCAAGGGACATTTTACTGTCTTAGTCTTACTTAATCTGTAGTATTCTGACCTGGTGAGAACTGTTTTGGATCTGTAGTAATACTCTTCATGTTTGATGTTCTCTGCTGAATGGTTGGATTTTGGTCCATGAACTCCACTGTAGCTTGCCTCCAAGGACAGGGCCACTGAAGGGTGCGATCATTCTCTCCAGTTATCAGATAAAGATATGCTGCAAGGTTATATGGTGAAGATAGTGTAGCATATGACCATAGAGCAATCTGGTAAGCATACCCATCGTTAGAGTAGTATGGAGGACTCAGTGCTATTTCTTTAGTGAAATCAAGACTGAAGTTTCTGATGTGCCAAACATTCTGAACACACTGAGTTTCAGACAAGTTGATGTCATCGATAGAGATACCACCAGTAGAATTTCCACTTCCTTTTACGCCTTGGAACACAAATCTGAACTTCTTTGTGGTATTTAATGAGGAAAAATGAACCTTCCAATAATCAGCAGGTTTGCCTGTAGAATATTTGACATATTGCATTTATTATACTCTCAATATGGCACATTGGGTGGATATAGAACCATTATATCAATCAGTATCTATAGTGTTTTCATATGACTGACTTGTCTTCAAAGTCATCTGAATATTTGGTTAAATCACATTTGTAGCCTGTGACCATAAGGGCAAACAGGCCAAATTATTCCAAGGCCCCAAGGATAGCATAATCTTATAATTGTATAATGATTCTATTTATATAATGAATTAGGAATATTTATCATAGGAAGTGATTGCGAAAGTACTGTAGAAATTTTAATACAATTACTAAAATCTCATGTAAGCTGTTAAAATAAAGGCAAACGTCATTTCAACCTTTTAAAATCTGCATATTTCAGAATACTGGTGATCCTGCCTAGTTCACTTACTTCCTGATATGGGGTAACAACTGTCTCCTAATTTGTTTTTTTGCCCTGTCTTATGCCCTCTTCATTGAAGATTACAAGCAGCCCTGCCAAGTAGCATTGTGCAGGCATGGTCCACTGTTTTCAGGCAGCTGGTCAAGAGCAGTGATTTTGTGCTTTAAAGAGGTTGAGTTCTATGTATGTGAAGAATAGCATAAAACTAAAATTAGTTTATGAAAGAAGTAAGCTACCAGAAAAAAACAAAAAATTGATCTTTCCTTAGAATCCAATTACTCCAAGTAGTGTAGCTAGGTGCAGGCAAACAGACCCTTTAATAGAGAAGGTTAAATTTGGTGTTGGGGAGTACCCTCAAACCCCAAGCTAAATAAGAATTGGAAAAACCCTCTAAATGTGGGACTTTTAAGGCACAAGTTGTATACATGTGTTTATAAAACTATGAAAACTTTAATTGTACAAAATATGATGAAATCACAGCATAAATGGTCAGTGGTTATAGATTTTACAAAAAAGCACAATATCTCATGAAAACTTTACACAAGTAGGCCATTATGTGCCTTCCACTGATTGGACAACACCAGGCTATAGAGGAGTAAATGCCATTGATAAGAATCGTGGGAGGTGTAGTTCCACTGTATGCAGATGGCATTGCTCCAGAACTGCAAGGAAAACTACATTTCTCAGGGCACTGTGTGGTAAAAGGGAGGAGTGAAGTTATTCACAGTGAACTGCTTGGGGAGGCTCAGGGCACTTGATGTCAGGACAGGGAAGAGTACAGACATCCAGGCCAGCATGTTGAGCAAACCAGGAGCTTGTCCAAGTACGTGGCCTACTTGGCGGCAACACCAGCTGCATCTACAAACATTCCAGTGTGGGTTCCCAGGTCAATAGCTGCATCTACAGCATTCAGTGTGGGTTTTCCAGTCATCAGCTGCATCTACAGTATTCCAGTGCAGGTCTGCCATTAATCCATGAGGGGCAACTCTATAATTAGCATCCATGGCTGAAGCACAGGATTGGTGAGAGGGTTCTTAACCAGTTATATACACAGCATGGCAGGAACTAAGCTTTCTCATACCTGATCACAGCTATATCCTCCCACGCCCCAGGTTACTACCAAAAGTTTAACCTAAAATAAGTTCTATCACAATATCTGTTATGGATTGTCCCATTAATCCAGAACTGACAGAACTTTAACCATACCACCGCCTACTACTGTTCAAGTCCCTTTTCAAAATTAACTCTACCATTCACATTTTCAGTAAGTTACTTTTTAAAACTTATTGCAGGCTGAGGCTTCCAACATTCACCAGCAGTGCACCAGCACTAAGGGCCCCAACAATAGCCGGCAGAAGTAATCATTCAGAGGCCACCTCTTTCTTTCTCAAAGCAATCCATATAATTTCCATCATCTTTACCCAATCTGGTATTGTTTGTCTAGTAAGAAAGTCCTACAGGCAGACTTGGACCTAGCATGGTCACCCAAGTGCATCAGTGGCAGCTACAGGGGTTTAGATTTTTCATTGTTGCCCTTGTTGCACCCTTGGTGACTCTGTTACAGTTTAAGCTGATCTAAGTACAGTACATATTGTGAAGTGGATGAAGTACCATCTTTGTTGGTTCCTGTGTGTACTCTGGTATAGAAATACTCCATATAGTAAATAGTGAGTTTACTCCATTATCCATGCCTAAGTTCTGTACCATTCCAATTTTATGGTTGACTAATATATTGTTTGTATAAGGTATCAATCTGCCTGTCTGTTTGTCTATATTTTTTAAATTGGGTATGTCATAGTGGCAGAGTGTGCAGCACCACCAAGAGTGGTCTCAGAGAGCTCATTGAACCAGCTGCTCCTTACAGTAGTATTTAGGCCTCCAGAATAGTCTGAGGATTATGATAACCTGTTAATTGGTGTGGTAGTTCAAATGGCAGTCAGGGGAAAGGTTTTAATGATGGATAACTTGTCGTACACTAACTGGAATATTGCGCTTATAAGCAGAAGCAGAAATATGTTGGAGGAATTAACATAGGTTTCTGTAAAATAGTTAGTAAAAAGCCCAACCAGAGGAAACAAATTTGTGTTCCAGTGATCACCAGTGTCTTTGATTTGACAGTAGAAAAAAGTTTGAAAATTCATATACAAAAATGTGAGCACAGCAAGCAGGCAGGTAGAGGCATTTTATTTTAGAAGAGACATTGCATATCTCTTCTACAATAAAAGCCTGCCTGCTCGTTGTTTGTTACAGTGGAACATCTGTAGTGGTAAGCTTAATGGGATCACTCATAAAAAGAATGGTCAGTGATCATTTAAAAAACACACAACTGGCTGGAATCAAAACAGTATGGTTTTACTAAGGGGAGATCGTGTAAATTTTTTGACTATATCATCATGAAATGTTTTAGACCAGGGTGGTGCTATGGACATATCTTGATTTAAGCAAAGCATTTGATAGGGTTCCACATAATGATCCTATAAAAAGGTTGTACTGTACATGCTAGGACCTAATCTTTGTGTGGTTCAATGGATACTCTGTTGGCCAAAAGATAGATATCAGAGTGTGGTTATAACTGAGGTGCAGTGGGAACAGAGACTTGTCTCTAGTGGTGTATTACAAGACTCTGTACTAGGACCGGTTCTATTTGTTTGTACGTGATTTAACTGAAAGTTAGATGTGCAAGGTATGTCTTTTTACTGATGACAGAAAGATAGAATGATAGTGTACAATATTGGGGGAAGAGTGGCCTGAACTACAAAAATATTTGTCTGTTCTTATTTCAGATGATTGCAAAATTAGCAAACAATGTGGATTGGCAGCTGGGGATAGCAAATATAATTTTGGAATGTATCCCTAGAGGGGTCACCAGTGGACGTTAGGAGGGCCTGATTCCCCTCTATATATCTTTAGTTAGACCTCATCTAGAATACCCAGTTCTGAAAACCTCACCAAGAAATGAGTCCAGAGACAGGCAACTAAAATGTTGGAAGGTGTGAGGGAAAAAACATATCAGGAGAGACTTCAGGAACTCACTACGTACAGTCTGGAGGAAAGAAAGAAAAGGGGAGACATGATTGAAACCTCTAAATGCATTAAAGTGATTGTAAAGGTTTTTTTCTAAAATAATAAAGGTTATTATTACCTGTACAATGGTTTTGCACAGAGCAGCCACTATCCTCCCCTCCGGGGGTCCCCTGTCAGCGCCCCTGGCTCCACCTCTTCTCTGAGTGACCTCACAGTAAGCCGCTTCAATCCTGCGTTTATTAACACACATAGTGTGACTCACCCCACTCCCTGCCCTTTGTTCACAGAATTTGATTGACAGCAGCAGGTGCCAACGACTCCTACTCTTGCCGAGCCTTCTGTGAGAACAGGGAGAGAATAGCAGCACTGCTGCAGACAGGCACAGCAATGGATCGAGATAGGGCTTAGGTAAGTTTTTTCATGGGGAGTGGGAGGGAGGGGAGCTGACATGGAAAATTTTATACTAATGCAGAGAATGCATTAAGGTGAAAAATCTTTTACCTTTACAACCACTTTAACCGCTTCCCGCCTCCCTATAGCAGAAGGGCTGCAAAAACATGTATATATACATAATTTGCATTTTAGGGTAGGGGCCACCCGACCCACACCGCCATTGGTGGCTACAGATTCCCTGCCGGCATCTGGCGATTGCCAAGTAACATTGACATGGGAGAGACCTATGTGTAAACATCGCAGGTCTCTCTCCTGCCAGTAGGAACATGCTGCTGTGTGCTATTCTGCACAGCAGAGAAATACACAGCAGCATGTTTCCCTAGTAAAACACACAGCACATGATGCAAAACAGCACACAGTTAACCTTTTGATCGCTCCAAATGTTAAACAGATGTTAACCCCTTCCTGCTCAGTGTCATTAGCACAGTGTCAGTGCTTTTTATTAGCACTGATCACTGTATTAGTGTCACTGGGAATGTCAGTGGCAGTTAGTCAGTTACCACCCAGTGTCAGAATGCCTACCGCAGCCCCGCAGTCCCGCTAGTCACTGACCGCCGCCATTACTAGTATAAAAAAAAAATAAAAATAACAATTTCAGTATATATACTGCCATTTGTAAATGTTATAACTTTCACGTACCAATTATTTTGTATTGGGGTTTTTTTTTGTAAAAGACATGTAACAGAATACATTTTGGCCTAAATTTATGAGGAAATTTGATTTTTAACATTTTTTTACTGGATGTTTTAATGGAAGTCAAAAGTATTGTGTTTTTTTTTTTAAATTGTCTGTATTTTTTTGTTTATAGCGCAAAAAATAAAAATCACACAGGTGATCAAATACCACTGAAAGAAAGCTTTATTTGTGGGAAAAAAGGACATTTCATTTATGTACAGTGTTGTATGACTGCGCAATTGTCAGATAAAGTAATGCAGTGCTGTACCGCAAAACATGGACTGGTCAGGGAAGTGGGATAAATCCTCTGGAGGACAAATGGTTAAGGGTGTGAATAAGGTTCAATATGGCAGTATTTTTAAGATGAAGAGAAGATGAAAAACACAGAGACAGAACCTTAAGAAGAAGGTTCAGAACTAACCCTTGAAATAATTATTTTATTAGATGAGTAGTTGATGCTTGGACAGACTTTCAGCAGAGGTGGTAGGTCAACAGTAAGTGATTTTAAAGATGCCTGGGACAAAGCTAGATCTATACCCAGACAAAAGGTGTAAAAAAAAAAAAAAAAAAAAAAAAAAGCAACAGACTCAATGGACCACTTGATCTTTTTCTGCCTTATTATGCTTTATACTGTAAATAGCGCCCACAATTTACACAGTGCTTTACATACTGTATATTCACATCAGTCCATTCAAGGAGCTTACAATCTAAGGTCCCTATTTTACATGCGTACATATACTACGGCCAATTTTTTACATCAGTCAAGTAACCTCAACACGTCTTTAGTGCGAGGGAGGAGGCTCATGAAAGCACAGGGTGAACATGTAAACATTACACAGGTAGTGTCCTGATTTGTATTTGAACCGAGGGCCCAAGGCAAAACTGCTAACAACTAAGGTACTGTACTGTAACAGGAAATGGCAGAAAGAGATTGGATGAGGTAAGTCATCAGCACTGAGATATTAAATAAAAACAGTTTTTTAAGAAAAAAAAACATGACGATTGTTTATGATACACGAAGGCACTGCCTCATATTTTTAATCTGGGTACTGAAATCTGAACCCCGCAGGAAAAAAATGATTTATAGTCCTGCTTTTATTGTATGAAGAATAGAAGAGGGGAGCCTGTGTCACTCGAAGATGAAAAAAGCTTGTTTTAAAAAAGTGGTGAATAGCGGTGAGTGCGATGTCTTAGGGTGGGCTTGGACAGGTTGAAGTTGTTGGCTTGGAAGTAGAGCCTTTTCTTAATTTGCCCATTGGATGAGGAGAAGGATGGGTTTCCATATTCCAACATTTCTGTTATCCTAATACTGTATGGTGAATGATAGTTGTTATGCTAGGACAAAATGTGTGTTACTGCCAGAATTGCCAGTTAAGATAATAAAAAAAAAAATGCTTGAAAAAAGAAAACTACTGCAGTCACCACATCTAAGGGCTGGAGAGCTGCAATATATTACATTTTTGTTCTTTGGTTTAGATGCACTGTTAATATCATTTTTAGTTAAAGTGGAGTTCCACTCAAAAGCAGAAGCTCCGCTTATTTGCCTCCTCCCCCCTCCACTGCCATATTTGCCACCTTTTGGGGGGGAGCAAATACCTGTTTTTGACAGGTACTCTCTCCCACTTCCGTCTCAGTTCACCGCGGCAAAGTGAGACGGAAGTTTGGTCCCCTCCTTCCTCCCGCAGTCTCCTGGGAACTTCCACAGGTCCCAGAAGACTGCCAGACCAATTAGGAAGCACAGCGCGACTCTCACATGCGCAGTGGGCACCAGGCTTTGAAGCCGCAGGCTATCACAGTCTGATGCCCACAGTAGAGATGCCGGCGCCGTGGAGGAGAGAAGGGGAGAAGGGACAGCATGGGTGAGAACATCACGGGATCCCGGGATAGGTAAGTGTAGCAGATTTTGTAGCTGCTGACTTTTAATAAACACAAAAATGGCTGGAACTTTGTTTTAATTGACACTGTATTTTAACACAGATACACATATATGATATTATATGCACAGCATAAGAACCAATTCTTGTCATCCTTACCAGATACGGAATCCACTAATTTCAGAACACCATTGGGTTTGCCAGTTGTGTATTCTTTAATCCAGATTTGGAGCTGGTCACTTTCACTACCACTGTGATAATAGAAGAATTCCAGACACTGATATGCCCTCTTAGGATAGAATAATCGGCTTTCAAGTATAGCATTGCTCCCAGTGTTGCCAGTGCTGGTGCTGAAGTGCATGAAGTAGCCTGTGTCTGATAATTTACCTGAATAAAAACAAATAAAATGAGCTCTAGCTCATATAATACACAGGCATACTAGAGGCATATGCAGTAGGGAATAGTGACACCATGACACCCACTCATCTGATCTAGTGACTGATCATTTTTGCTTAGTATTACACTCTAGCTGTCTTTTCTATTGACTAGGCCACTGGAAATTACCTTTTCCAAGGAATGTGTGATCAGAATTTGGACCATTTGAAATGTTAGAAATGCGCTCCCAATCAGAAGAATCACTTGTACTCTGCAACATGCCACAAATTACATCTCGTTCAAAGCTGCATGAATCCAGGAAAGTGAGAGACGATGCTGTGCAATAGAGAATTATAGTCATAAATTAGACAATTTGATTGACGTTCACCAAAATGCAGTATCACTTATTTGCAAATGGCACAATGGAAAAAAATCAGAGACAGTTGTGACTACACAGGCGCGGTTTGATAACATTTGATTAAAAATTTTCATCCCTTTAAAGACCCTTCAGAAACAGAAAAATACTTGCTGAAAATGCACCAAAAGTGACACCAAATTCTGCTTTAAAAAAGTAAAAATAAGGTATAAAAATAAGTATGTATTCTTAACTCAAAAAAGAACCGTCCAATACTCTCAGCTTCCCAAAAATCTTCAAATTCCTTTTTTTGTTTCACAGCTGTGTTCCAACTCCCTGGTAGGGGGTGCCTACAAATATTCTCCATGGTCCCACTGTATGTAGGAACATAGTCATCCTCTATTTCTTACTCTCAAGATGGACTATGGACTATGGGATTTGTAGTGTGCATAGAGCAGAGCACATGACCACAACTAACATGTACTGCTCATTCCAAACAAATGGAATTAAGTGGGAAAAGGAGAGTTTCAAGGACTCATAGAGGGCATTACAAGAAAGCCAAAAAACACAGTAAGATGTAATTTCATGAAAATTAGATTTACAGGGTCATTAAGTAGTGGATATGTATGGAATATTTTTAGAGAGTAAGGATATCATTTATTGTCACTTTAATTTTATGTTGTGGGCTTACAACACATAGCATTTGTGTGAGCTGAGTGGTGTCATCACTCCCCAGTTTTCTTTAGCTAAACTTTTCAACTGCTTCCACTGTCTATAGCTCAAAAGCATAGGCACTAAATCATTTGTACAATGTAGTCCAAACATAGGAAGGCTATATAGACTCTTTGAGATAACACAACATAGATGACACAGGATGGCTCTGCGTTTCTGACAAGATCAACAGTTTACAAAACAGGTATAACACAGTTCTTTCAATAGTATATTTAAAAAACCAAAAGGGAGCAAATAAAGTTTATTGTTAAGGTTTAACCACTTCCCGTCCGGCCCATGTATATAAATGGCCGGGTGGCAGTGCAGGAGCGGGTGGCCTTTTATAAACGGCCTCCCTGCTCCCCGCTTGTGTGCGCTCCCTGGAAGTATGCATCACCGCGATCTGGTGCCCGCTGTGTCCTCCGGACACAGTGGAACGCCGCTCGTTGTACAGGACCTCTGTGTGAGATCCTGATCATGTGATCACTGATTGGCCAATCAGTGATCACATGAAGAGAGTTAGCAAGATGTCACTTCTGACATCATTGCTTACTACTTGTGAAATCTGTGAATGGTCACAGAGGTCACATGGTACAGGGCTATTCACAACAGCCTTGTACCATGTGACAAGCTGTGACCAATCACAGCTCACACAGTATTTCTCAATGGCTGCAAGAATGCAGCCAGAGAGAAAGAGAAATTATTGCTTTTACAGCCTTTATGGGTATAAAAGCAATCAGTGTAAAAAAAAAAAAAATCTTCTTCACCCCCCACAAGTAGTACAGTGTCACTATGGTGACACTGTACTGCTAGGGTGACAGTATGTGAAAAAAAACAAAAAAAATAACATAATAATATATACAAATAAAATAAAAATAAAAAAATTTTTTGAAAGATTATAGTTTTTGGTTATAAACTAATTTTGTTTTTTTTACCAAAAAGATAACTGAATACATTATGGCCAAGATTTATGAAGAAAGATTATTTATTTGCAAAATTTTATAAGAAAAACATTTTTCTTCAAAATTTGTGGACTTTTTCATTTATATAGCAAAAAAAATAAAAATCCCAGTGGTGAATAAATACAACCAAAATAAAGTTTTATCTGTCTCAAAAAAATGCTAAAAAATGAATACGGGTACAGTGTTGCATGACCGCGCAATTGTCATTCAAAGCATGGTAGTGCTGAAAGCTGAAAATTGGCCTGGGCAGGAAGGGGTGAAAGTGTCTGGACTTGAAGTGGTTAAATACACTTTAAGTTGTAAAATTATAATATAGGTTATGCCTTGTTTTAGACGTAATGTAGCTTAGTAGCCAGTGGAGGGCACCAAAATCCATTTTAGCACAATATAACCTAAAGCAGCCGTCACTAAATGGCAGACCGCAGTTTGCGGATTGGTCCAGCAGCACTGCCGCCCAGACCGCCAGCCAGCCAGGCCGCAATGGCAGATCCGGCAACATGACATCATGTGTGCGCCCCGCCCCTTTCAGCTCTCTGTCTTTCCGACTCCTGCTCCCTGCTTGTACACAAGCGTCCAGCAAGGATCCCAGCACAGTTCCTGTCTGCCCTCAAGGTAGGGTATAGTATTACAGGGGCACTCTGATGGGCCCATTGAATGTTAAGGGGCACTCTGATGGACACAACATAGAATGTAACCATCAGAGTGCCCCTTAACATAACATGTGCCCATCAGAGTGCCCCTTAATATAAATGTGCCCATCAGAGTGCCCCTTAATATAAATGTGCCCATCAGAGTGTCCCTTAACATAAAAAGTGCTCATCAGCATGCCCCTTATTTTATGTTAAGGGGCATTCTGATGGGGACATTTATATTAAGGGGCACTCTGATGAGCACATTTAATGTTCAGGTGCACTCTGATGGCCACAACATAGAATGTGCCCATCAGAGTGCCCCTTAATATAAAATGTATCCATCAGAGTGCCCCTTAATATAAATGTGCTCCTCAGGGTGCCCCTTAACATAAAATATGCCCATCAGCATGTCCCTTATTTTATGTTAAGGGGCACTCTGATGAGCACATTTATATTAAGGGGCACTCTAATATATACATTTTATATTAAGGGGCACTCTGATGAGCACATTTTATGTTAAGGGGCATTCTGATGGATACATTTTATATTAAGGGGCACTCTGATGAGCACATTTTATGTTAGGGGGCACTCTGATGAGCACATTTTATGTTAAGGGGGCCCTCTGACGGGCCCCTTTTTTGTTAAGGGGACATAAATGAGCACATACTGTGGAAAGGGACACTCTGATGGGCACATGTGATGGAAAGGGGCACTCTGATGGAGAAATATGATAGAAAGTGGTACTTTGAGTGTAAGGAGGAACTCTGATGGGAATACCTGATGTAAGGTGGCAATGTGATGGGGATACTTGATGTAAAGGGGCACTCTGATGGGTACAACTGATGTAAAGGAGCGCTCTGAAGGGGGCACCTGATGTGATGGGAATACATGATGTAAAGTTGCACTCTGATGGCGTTACCTAATGTAAGGGGGCACGCTGATGGGCACACCTATTCGGACCTCGGCCAGAAGAAAATTTTAGTGACCGGACCTCCTTGAATTTTAATTCAATACCCCTAACCTAAAGTTTCCAGAAATACCCTTTTCTGAATTGATGAAATGTAAACCACATTTTGCAAAGGGACCTAAAATTGTTTAATCAGATTATATGATAAACAAATTATATGTGTTTGTTTAGATAATCAGATCACATCTAATGAAAATCCAAAGCATGTAAGGGTAATCTTCAATATTTGAGGTTGGGCCAAAGAGGAAATTATTGCACATATCATAAAATATTGGTGTTTTATATTTGGTTGTAGCATGAATATTATATCTAATATTTTTTCTTTGCAACCCTTTTGGAGCAGGCAAAAAAAAAACTTTTTAAAATTAAATTGTATATTATTCTGATCATAATTTGGACTGAATTGAGTAAAACAGTAACTATGGTGTTTTCAAATATTCCATGCACAGTGATTAATTCTGATCTAATACATTGGAACAAAAAACACATTATGGTTATATGGTCTAAGAGGAACCAAAAAGCCCCCTCCCCCACCCACTTAATTAGTGACAAACACAGTACAGCTTTCTTAAAAGAAAAGTTCAATATTATAAAAAATATAAACAAAACACATTATTTTTTTCAAGTAAAACAAATGTGCATTTATTTATTTATTTTAAGGCACCTGTAAAGCATTGCACCCAGGCACCAGCAGACTGTCTGTAAACACCAAATAAAGGAGCGCTCCAAACACTGCGGAAGTCAATAGAGTCACAAGCCCAGGAATAATTAAAATCGAAATTCAGTTTAATGTTGGATTAAATAGCATGACATGTAGGAGTGCCCAGACTGATACATCACCAAGCCACTGGAGAGGAGAAACACATATTCCCAAAAGCTGGAGGATGACACATAATCCTGAATCTAACTGTAGGTTGCTCAGCCCAAGAGCCTCAGGACAATGGGAAGGGAGTATAGATGGCAGCCAGTGGGATCAATGGGATGGCATGTCCGCCAGAAGTCACGTGTCTGGTTATTATGTCATACACCTAGCGAAAGACCACCCAAACAAGGGCTGGTGAGGGTAAACTGGAAGCATAGGAGAGCACTCAAACCATGTCAAACCATGTCAAGCAGAGAAGCCAGTCAACATGATAACATGTTTCAGGGACTTGCCTCTTCCTCAGATCATATGTGCAGACTGTCTGTGTAGCTCTTTGCCCATACCTCCAATATGGCAGGCAGTTACATCAGTCCAGGAGGAATCAAAAACTGTGAGGATGACTCCTGTGCCCTAGTAGTTCATTGAGAACTTCAAGTCATCAACCACAAAGGCTGTCTGTACTTGTAGTTTATTCATTCATTGAACTCTATGGATGAATGACACGGCCATGTGGATGGAGCTGTGCTCTTTTCAAGTTGTGATAGCTGGTGTGCGGAGAAGATCCCTGGCCTTTTATCACAGGGAGGATGGGGATCGGGGGGAGAGCTTCTGGAGCAGGTACATGGTACATGTTCCACCCAAAAATGGCTGGAACATGTAACATATTCCCAAAGATGGACTTATCCTTTAAAACAGAAGGTATTTGCAAAGTTTGCTTCCAGCACAGAGCACAAAATGAGATTTGTTCTTCAAAGTATGTCCTTGACACCAACTTCCCATTCAAAAACACTGGTTTATAGCACAGATACAGCCTTATATTTTAAAGACATTTATTCCAAATTGCATACAGCTGTTTCATGGTTGGCCATCATTAGTGCTTCTACAGAAGTAGAACTAGAAACATTCTGGTGAGGTGCTTGATCTAATCTAACAAATTGATATATGCTGTATGGACATGATATATTTGTTTTCATTTAAAGACCTTAAAATCTTTCTTATCATTATCTTACCAATAAATGAGAAGTATGATCAAAGCTCTTTTGGCCCTACTTCTCCTGAGGGTCACAGAAATGCACTTAGTTCTGTACTCTTATGACCCAGATTCAGCCAACAGCGGCTGATATCACTGAGCCAGTCCAGACTCTGGAGGGATCCCAATTTTAATGTCAGGATCCACCCAGATGCCTGACCAGCAATTGGCTCAGCATCTCAGCCCTTCTATAAGCCTCTCTGAAACGCATTTATCTTTATAGCTAAGAGTCTAACTTACCTGCCTTCAGGGTTAAGCTTCCACAACTGCCATTCCCCTGTCTATTCAGAGTACCCTTATTGACAATCGAGGTTCACCAAGTGGGTGAATCTTAGCCCTAAAGTCAGGAAAGTCATATTGTATTGCTAGAGAGGCAGAGAGGTAGTAGTAGTTTAGGCTTAGTAAGAACTTACAGCAGTTGTACAATTTGTTTAACTTTAAGACATCACTTTCACCGAAATCCATTTGGTTGCCAATTATATTAATGTAGTCAGGATTCTTAGGTATGACTGTTGACTCATTACTAATCTGAAAAGAAGTTTTGCTGTAATGCATTAAAGAGGTGTAATCATAAGGAACATTTAGAAAGCTCAAGGTTTTATCATCATAGGCTTCAAAATTATGTCCTTTGCCTAAAAAAAATAAAAAAAAAATATTGAATGATGAATATGGATTTATCAGTAGCACCTGAGCATTGTGTTTGACAGGTAAAACACAGTTAAATAGAAATGATAATAAATTAATGTAAAGTATGGGTGTCTGAGAGATATTTTTTTATACATAAATGTGGCATTTCAGCTTAAATGCTTGTTCCCAGAAAATGTAATATAATGTAATATAAAAATAATGGACGAAAAATGAGAATACCTCATACAGTACTTCTAGAATGGGGAAAGCATCATCGAGAATAGGGAAAGAGAATAGGAAAAACAGGTATTCACAAAGGGTTGTGTGTGTGGAGGGTGCTACTATTTATGTGTAATTGTGCTTAAGTATCTGTATCCCAAATTTAAAGATTTAGAAAAAGAAAAATTGGAAGTGGAAATAAACCAGCTACATAATAATTTGAGTATTTTTATAGACCAATTATAATGCTGCTGTGCTTGATCTTGATCACCTTAGTTAAGTCTGAGCTCTTGGCTCTATGGAGAGAATCTTTAGGACAGCAGCTTTTTGCATGCAAAATCAACTGATACAATGTCAATTATCCTGGTAGAAATTACTTGAGGTGCAGCAAGCTTATATTTTAGTGCTTTTTTTGTATTTCTGTTTACAAGCTTCCTACAATATTGCATTCTGGAAATACTGTTTGTGATTTTTTCACTGATGATGGAAGCACAATTTAGTTGGTTGTAGCAGGCAATTTGAAACCTTACCTGTGGTATGAACACTAGCTACCTGGGCTATCTAACCCAAGAGACAATGAAGGAGAGGCTGCTGCCCTTACAATACATGTATCTATATTAAATGTAATATCAGTTTACCAGGTTGGATATTTTTCCACACAATAGTTACATAGTCGTTACGGTCAGATCGTGATTGCTCATGATAAAAACCCAAAGCATGAAGGAACTCGTGTTGAACTACTTCAATAGTATCACATCCTGATCCAATAGAAAGTGGTTGTTTTCCCCAGTGCTGGTTTCCAATGTATGAATAGCATCTAAAATAGATAATAATAGTTACTCTAATGTATGGCTTTTATTTACTGGAAATCAAACAGGAAAGCATTCCATGCAAAATACTTATGTCTTACAAAAACTTCATTTTCATATGATTTTTCATTGCCAGGTATTTTTTTTGTAAATAAAGAAATACCAACACAGACTTACTGTTCATTGTAACCCATTTCTGACTTTAAGGGAAAGTATGATGGGATGGATCATTGAAATCCTAATAATTCCTCATTTTAATAGGTTTTTAAATTAATGTTTAGTTTATGTTTTTATAGGGTTTTTTATGAATACAATCTTTATTTTACAAATACATGACATACACAGACACAGGGTTCCCAGAACACAATGGGTTAGCTAAAGAGACAGCACAACATTAGTAGACTGCCCCAAGACTCACTTTGTCTGACTGAATTCTAGGAAAGATCCTTATGATAAAAAAAAATGAGTCACTGCATGTATATGTAAATTTCAGCTTGAGCTTCTGAGCTGTGTAAACAGCGGTCTTTTCCAACAAAGAAGCTAAAATAGCTTCGTGCTGGGATTTGCACTGTGTCTGAACGCCTGTGTGAATGCAGCCTGAATGTAGGAGACTCCATAGAGTCTCCATAGAGCATGTTGTCATTTGTGAAGAAAAGACAATTTTGTGTTTGCTGCTGGGAGCATATTTGTTGCCCTCTTAAAGAATAAATCCTGTTTCTGTGTATTATACAGCTGCACTGGTGATCCCTGCCCCCCACCTCCTACTACACTTGATACTAAATTTTTCCAGGATTTACTAGGGAGTCCAGTCTTGGAAACACCAGGGCTTTCACTAGACACACTTGCACTGTAAAATAGAAAATAAAGTAAATGCAAGATAAAAGCCTGGAAGAAGTGCAAATAGAAGCAAATGCACTGGTAGCTGATTCGAACAATTGGAAATCTTAGAATTGTACATAAAACATTTTATCAAGTTTTGGAAAATCCTGCAATACAGTGTTTAAGCTTTTGGTTCTGTTGGCATGTGGAAAGTTTATATGATGTAAAGGAAGTCTTTACATGTGGAAGTGACTAGGGATAAGCAAATCTGTCTGGGTTTGAGTCTCAGTTTGGCGAATATTGTTCAAAGTTTGCAAACTTTAAAATGATAAATTTCTATTCAGTTATTACCATTTATAGTTGTTGTGAAACAAAAGGCACAGGAAGCCAGGCACTGCCAACTAGGACAGTTATCAATATCAAACTTTTTTTTAAAATTCTCCTTACATGGAATTGTCAGCTCTACTAATAGTTCCAATACACACTGACAATAACACTGCTGTGAGCCCTCATATAGAAAGGGCTTTGGGTTATCCATTGCTTCAAAATATTACCACTTGTAACTTAGCTGATCTGGAGAAAAAAGGCCATTCACTGCAATATAGGTTGTTCTTTATTTCTGATATTAACCTGCAATATTTTTGGGCAAAGGTACATGCTTTTTGCACTTCGTTAATCCCAGGGATTCACCACAAACCCATGGTAGCGGCAAACCTGACCCTCATCCCTAGCATAGACATAACAATATGAGAAGCAGCACTAGCTACAAGGCCTATGACTCTGGGAGCCAAGTTATATTATTAATTCTAGAATGCTCTTCCATTTATTGCACCAACTGGAGCAACATTATAGTGTATGTCTTTTATGATATACATTTATGCACTGACAAGTGTATTTAGTTGTGTGAAGTGTTGATGTGTATGGTGTCAACTGTATAGTGCTGGCTGTTGCGCTCAAAGCCCATTGTGTATAAGATCTGTTCAGATTCTTAAACTGCTGAAGGTGCCTGTCCTCTAAGGGAGCCCATCTTGCTCCAGTAACAAGATAAAACAAGCTAGGGCCACACACTGTAAACGTTGATTGTTGTCCTGTAATAGGAATCCCGATTTCAGCTCAGTCCCCTCCTGTTGACCACAACCCCCTGATATGTTTCACCTCATTGAGCTTAGAGCCTCGATGACTGTGCCCAATCAGGGGGAAACACATCAGTGGGTTGTGGCCAATGAGAAGGGACTGAGCTGAAGCTGGGATTCCTATTACAGGACAATGGTCAACATTTACAGTGTGTGGCCCTATCCTGTCTTCAGGGCTGCTATTAAAAACCACGGGGCCCCATACAGCCAATCTGACAGGGCCCCCCAAAGTAAACAAGGTTTACTATGCTTCAATTATGAATGAACACAGCGAGCTATTGGTACCGATCATTCATTGTGTTCATTCAGGAAGGTCAGGGGCTGGTAAATGTAAGGAGGGAAGCTGAAAGCACTGCAGGGATGGAGGCATACAGAGGGGCCTGGGCAGCAGGGGGAAATGCATGGTGCACAAGGGGGGTGATGGGTGAGGTGGGGTGGCAATTACTTGAAATCATCCTCTGTAACGCTCTCTCTGCAGCAGCTGAAAGCCATCCGGAGGGAGAGGAGGAAAAGCCAGCTCTCGTCTGTTGCAGAGAGAGCCATACAGGGGATCGGTTCCAGTAATCACCCTCCCTACCTACATCCAATTCACCCAGCTGCCTGGTTCCCCTTGCTGGCTTGTGCCCCGTACAGGAGGACTGGTGTTACCCCCTTATCCATGGCCCTGCCTGTCTTATCAGTGTGTGCATTGTCTCAGTTAATAAATGGATAAGTGTGTTAAAATATTCCTGGTCTAGAGGAGTTCAGCTATTCCTCTGGCATATATAAACAAAGCATATCTTTTTGTTTCTATGTTTATTACTTACCCACTATCTTTAAATACGGAAATATAGTTCTTTTCTCCAGCCCATGGCTTAAAATCAATGCATGTTTTCAGCCTGTAGCGTTCAAATGCTTGCAGTATAATACCCTTGGCATTAATTTCTTTAATGAAAAAATACACACAGATGGTTATAGTCACTGCTATGTATCAGACCATCAATGCAAATAAAGGTAATGTTGAGATGTAATATTATTATCTATAATGGTACAGAAATAGTATCAACATTGTTATTTAACTTTCCTTTTTTAAAGGTAATCTATAGTCAAGGCTAAATGCAAGGGGTTAACTTTGTGTAAAGGTTAAAGCATTATTAAAATCAAATACAAACATTTTATACTTTGCAGCTTTCCACTCCTTAAATGTGGTGGCTGCATTTGTTTTCTTTTTTAATTTCTTTATTTTCACCTAGTGATCTGGTCAGTAATACACTCCTGTCTTAGGACACAGTATATTCGCTCCACTGGAGAGGCAATGGAGACACCTTTAGAGAGCAGCATTGTCAGTCTGGGGAAACAGTAGGGTTGGGTACACTACAAATTTCGATTGACTTGGCTAACAAATTAAAGCTGAACTCCAGCTAACACTTTTTAAGCAATTACAGCAACATTTGTTTTTCTTCTGGGATAAAGCTTTTATAAAAAAGACAAAAAGTTAACCATTGTTAGCACCCCTGTCAGTATTATATGGTTTGACCCAACCCTCTAACTGTCACTTTTGATGAATGGCTTGGTCTGTTAAACAGGTTTGCTGGCTACATCAACACATGAAAATGTGTGAAAAAGGCCTAAAAATAGGAAACAGATGCAGCCACCACCTAGATATTAATAATCTGCAATATATTACATTTTTGTTTTTGGGTTTAAAACAGCTTTAAACCGTGGGGGTACCATGGGGTTATTAGGTTAAGTGTTAAGGTTCAAACATTAAGGGTTCTTTTTTTGGGACTAGAAAAAGGGTCAACTTTAATTACTTGGGGAAGGTTATCTGCTAGTTTTACTGCTTGGTTATGTACTAAGGTGCAAGCTAATGGAGGGTTACATGGTAGTGGAGTTTAAGTGTGAGTGATAGGTTTTACTTGTGAGGGCAGCTTGTTTATGCCCGGTAAATTTGTTTTCTTTTGGTAGATGTCATATTTACATGGCAAGGCAAGGTACTATCTGTGCTGGATGAGCCCAGGGTGAGCAAGAGCTGTGTGTTACACCTAATTATTGCAGCATTTACTAATAGACTTTCCATGTGACAATGACATTACATTAAGTAATTTCTCCTTTTGGTGAAACTTAAATCAATCCAGTAAAAATGATTTTTTTTTAATTCTGAACTGTGAGGTCAATTTACTAAGAGATGGATGAAATGTAAGCAGAATTAATACTTTAATACATACCTAGATTGTCCTCTAGGTAGTATGGGATTGTCTGTGGCCACCTGTAGTTATCACCAATTATTGCATTTCTTGTATTTTTCTATTGAAAGAAAGTATGACATTATGGGCCATACCAATATTTTTTAATAATACAAGCACAACAATAATAAAGTACCACCAATCAATTTCCTAGCACACTCCTTTACAGCTGCTTTGTGCATTTATGTATCTATTTAAGAACCTCTAAGCAGTGCTGCCCACACTATATTTTATTTAAAAAAAAAAAAAAGAAGGGCACTGTCATTGAAGGATGTACACATTGTGTGAAGCAATTCTGTTGCTAAAATAAATTTGTAATAAAGGTCTCCCTGCTCACCTCTCCTGTTGATTAGCTACAAGCGCTGATTGATGGAAAAATTTCTAATATGTCCCTGACTTCTTATGAACAGGGTAGCCCACACACTGATTGAAATTAGCCTGGACTCATGTGAACCAGCCAAATTTCGATTAGTGTATGGCCATCTTGAAAGGTTACTCCACTTTTTTTTTTTTTTTTAAATATAGCAAATACAAAAATAATAATATTACTTATACAATTGCTATGCAAACCATATTGTAATTTAATGTTATTAAGTTACTTTTCCTTTTCAATGTTCAGATTTGTAATGTTCTGTAGAATTCAATGCAATATGGTGACCTGGAGGTGTTCTGTACACAGTTGAAGTACAGAATTTCACCAGAAATGTCACTGTCAAATATGATTGGCTCACTAATTTTCAAGGAAGTCTGCACTAAGATACAGTTCAGATTTTAGGCATCTTCTGCAACACAAAATCTAGTTTTAGTGAGATACTTCCAGAGGGATAATTACTACAGGAATATGGATGCTGCAACTTTCCTCATTAGAAGACTGCAAGTGCATCGACTGATTAATAGTGAAAAAGTAATTTCCAATCTGATATGCTATGCAGAAGGAAAACAACCTTTTCTTCAGAGGTGAAACAAGTAGGGATCTGCCACAAATCCTTGAAACGCACATTGATCATCCAGATGGGATATCATGTTACACATTTATTGCTGTTTTTTTGCCTTTAAATAATTTTTTTTGCCTTCCTCACTCTGTAGCTAGGGGATGCTCTATGTAGTTAGTCCCACCCTTCTTCTTCCTCATGCTTTAGTCTCCATGCATCACATGTGCTGGATTCCATTGGAGCTAGAGACACTATGATTTTTGACCTATCATTCATTTGTTATGATCTGCACAAGTTTTGGATTGAAGCTTCGTATGATCTACAGGATGTCATTTGGATCAAGTCACTGTCCGCCAACCTACTGAGACTGTAAGTTAAGCTATATAACCACAAATGGATCAGTTATAGAGATCACACTTCAGTGCTTAGATTGTGAAAGCAGAACAGGGGATTGTTTTTTTCTCAACAAAAATGAAGTTACTCTTTAAGTACTGAAACTATTGGTTCTGCATGACAGTCAGGGAACTAGCATTTTCATAAAAAGATGTTGACAAATAGTAGCCCCCATACTTATATTGGTTGGCAACACTGTATTTTATTAAAATGATATTCATTATTATTTAACATAACTGGAAGTCAATTGCTTTTATAAAATTTCACAATGGGACAATATCTATTGCACAAATATCTGCAAAGATCAAGAACTCTAACCTTATCAATTTTAATGTCGCCTTCAAACAAGTCCAAGCCAGCCGCTGAAAGACAAAATTCCAGATATGTATAGTGCATGTGTATATTTCTTTAAACACAACATAAGCTTGAAGAAAATAAATATGTAAAAGAGCAGCATGTCTCTGGTGTGCAAAATGTAAAGCCCTGAAAGTACTGGATACTGATTTAATTGTCAGAGGCATGTTACTACATGTTACTCCATTGGTGAACTGCTACATGTAGAAGTACTCTTTTCTTAGGGAACATACTGTATCATGAGAAAGCTGAGTCTGCCTGCTTGACATCTGCAGGGCGCTGGGAAGTGACACTGAGCCTGTGGTTTGTAAATTTCCTGGATCATACAGAGCTGTTCTAAGACACTCTGCAGCATGGCAATGGCAGTTCCCCTTAAACCCCACATTAAAGTTCATTCACCAATCCTCATGATGCCTGTAGTACCCTCTAACCCAACTCAGTTCCAAGGGTCACTGACCTACCTGAGAAGTCCCCATATTTCTATTCCCACTGACACAGATGCCAGTTATCACTGATGGTCAATTTTAGGGCAATTTTTTGCCAAACACTAAAATACTGATGGCAGGGAATTTTTAATCCCATTGATAAATGCCACTATGTCATTCTTCCTCTCACTGACCTCCACTGCCAGGGCATTCTTCCTTTACTGACTATTGTCACCAGGGTGTTTTTCTTCTCACAGGTCACTAACACATATGCTCTTTTACACAACACCAATGTCTTACCATTATTTTAACCACCAAGGCCAGGGCATTTTTCCACACAATTTCCACTGATTCCAGTGTATTTTTTTCTTCCACTGACACCAAGGCATTCTTCTTCCTATTGACCACCAACGCAGTGGCATTTTTTCTTAAACTAACACTAGGACATTTTTTTTTTTCATTTTTTCATGACATTTCTCAGTTGCACTGATGATATACTGTACTTTTGCTCCCACTGGCAATTTTTCCCACTGGCCGCTCCCTTTCTACCTTTTCTCTTGGTTAAGAATATGAACTATAACTGTATGTTATGCTGTCACCGGTGACTCTGCCCCTTTGTTTATTTACCGTTGGTGGGAACTCGGCATGTCAGAAGCTGGGAGGCAAGCAACAAGTGCGAAGCTCTTCTTTAAACTTTTTTTGGGGGCAGCGGCATTCATTGTGATTAATGCTTGATTTACTCTCGGGGACATTGTTTTATTTTATTTTTTAATAAAGTACTTGTCAAAAACTGTCTCTGTGTTTTAATTTATTTTTGACACTTTTTTGGTAAATGAGTAGGGGTACAATGTACTCCGTATTCATTCACATGGGTGGGCAGGATCTAAGGGCCACCTTGTTAAAGGGGGCTTCCAGATTCTAATAAGTCCCCCATTGGAAGACCCCCACAACCACCACCCAGGGTTGTGGGGAAGAGAACCTTGTTCCTATCAACATGGGGACAAAGCACCCCCTCATGTTGAGGCCATGTGGCCTGGTATAGTTCAGAAAGGGGGGGGCGCTCATTTGTCCCCCCCACTTTCCTGACCTGCCGGGCTGCATGCTCGAATAAGGGTCTGGTATGGATTTTGGGGGGACCCTACATCATTTTTTTTAAATTTTGGTGTGGGGTTCCCCTTAAAATCCACACCACACCAGAAGGTCCTGGTACAGATTTGAGAGGGCTCCCATGTTGTTTTTTTTTTAATGTCGGCATTGTTTCTTTATATTCTGCTGTCAGTGGGTAATCCTGCTGACAGCAGATGAGTCATGGTTGTTAAGGGCTCCTCGGCTGGAAGGCTGCCCTGCTCCTTAACCAGCTATTCTTCAAAATTAATTTAAATGGATTCAATATTTTCAATTCTAATTTGATTTGAATACTTCAAATCCATTGGAGACATTTTGAGTCCAATTGAAAATGAATAAACGAAACAATTCATTACAAATGCAGCAAAACTAAATTGTGCTCATGTGCAAAATATGTTGTCACCCTTGCAGCTATGTTTATAATTGTGATTTAATTGGAACCTGTGAACCTCTCAGAAATAAGCTTCCTTTGCAGAGTTTATTTTAAAGATGCTCATCTTTATTTTAAAGGGTATCTAAACCCAAAACCAAAATTGTATTATTTTGCAGCTTGTCAATTTTTAGATGTGGTGGCTGCATTAGTTTCTTGTTGTTTTCCTTAATTATCACCATGTAATCAGTCTTCACTAGTGGTAAACTTGTTCCAGGATAAGAATTCATAGATAGTGAAGGTGAAAGTTCCAGGAACTATCACCTTTGAAAACAAGTCAGAAATTGCAGCCCTATATTTTTCCTACTCGCAGGTTCCCTTTAATTACTTTAACCTCCTAACCACGGGCAGACTAACCATTTGGAAACTCGGGCACTGCCCGAGGGCCCAGGGTCAGTAGGGGGCCCCATGAGATGACCCTGGTACCTTTTTCATAGGCTTTTTTGAGTTTGGACAAGGACACAGGGGCCCCTTGATCCCCTATTGCCCGGGGGCCCCATGAGTTGTCAGTCCGCCCCTGCTCCTAACTTGTTCAACATTATTTTGTCCAACTTCTGTTTAGGTTGCTATTTACACTAAATGGGAATAGTAAAACCTTACCTTGATTTATGTCAATAATATCCATATATTTTGGAAGCTTAATGGTGTTACCTGTGTAGAGAAAAAAACGTGTGAATTGTACAACAAACAGTATATACAGTAGGTGTATACACGAAAAAATGAACTGTATTACATTTGTACAGTTGCAGCCAATGTTGATGAGTACTGGCAGTACCCAGTACAGTTATTAACTTCTTCATACATCTCTGAAATGAACATGGCGCTCTTCGGTGTATCCTGTTTACACTATACTGTATATGTATGTGATGTGCAGAAAAATGCAGCTCAATGGACATGGCGTGAACAAGCCCTTCTTTCACACAGGTGGACAGGGGTCAGTAAAAATAGGTGATTGAGCCACATTTTTCATAAATAGTGCAGTGCTTAAAGCAATACTACGTGCAATACAGAAACTGTGCTCACATACAAATGTGTCAATATTAAATAATATAAATAATATTAAAATATGTTAAATCATTAAATAAAATGTATCTTAAATATAAAGTGCCACTCAAAGATGATCTCTTAACAATAGTGCCCACACAATCAAAAAATATAAAATAATAACAGCCCCCTACAAAGGAGGATAATTTAAACAGTGCTTTAAGTGTAATAAAGTGACCACACTTCAAATAAGACTCAAATCATCAAGTAAAATGTCCATGAAAAAACACAAGTGATATAAAATTCATGCAATGTGCAAAACAGTTCTTGTATTCTGTGAGCGTGTCCACACGCTTCACCTCCTAAGGCTAAATTGCCTCCTCACCTCCTCCAAGTGACCCCTAAGGGGCCAGACAGCTTTCAGGATCACCCTGGATCCCAATTTCCTGACGGGAAGTACCTCTCCTCACGGTGTGGATCTCTTAGGGGACTCCCATTGCCCCAGACCGGAAGCTACTGAAGAATAATTGCTCACCAACAGGCAGTGAACACAGGGGGCGCCGCTACCTATGGTGTATATGGGGAGCTCTCATCATCCCTAGGGGGGAGAGGCAGATCCAGGGTGATCCTGAAAGCTGTCTGGCCCTTAGGGGTCACTTGGAGGAGGTGAGGAGGCAATTTAGCCTTAGGAGGTGAAGAGTGTGGACACGCTCACAGAATACAAGCACTGTTTTGCACATTGCATGAATTTTATATCACTTGTGTTTTTTCATGGACATTTTACTTGATGATTTGAGTGGTATTTGAAGTGTGGTCACTTTATTACACTTAAAGCACTGTTTAAAATTATCCTCCTTTGTAGGGGGCTGTTATTATTTTATATTTTTTGATTGTGTGGGCACTATTGTTAAGAGATCATCTTTGAGTGGCACTTTATATTTAAGATACATTTTATTTAATGATTTAACATATTTTAATATTATTTATATTATTTAATATTGACACATTTGTATGTGAGCACAGTTTCTGTATTGCACGTAGTATTGCTTTAAGCGCTGCACTATTTATGATTATTGTACACACTGTATGGGTATCAGTTTAAGTGCTGGCAGCTTTCAGTAGGTAGACTTCCTTTCAGCGCAGGAGGATTCTTGTCTGTATTTCAGTGAGCCACATTTTTACCACCTCCAACTGCCTACCTTCAATGTATACATTGCAGTGGCTTTGATGCTTTGCATTGTAGTGCAGCAATTTTAATGCAACATTCTGAGTTTGACAGGCAGCACTGGTTTTGGCAGTTCGGCACCCCCTGCAGCCCTCTGGGACCCTTCCAAGGTCCCAGCAGATTGCAGCCCATTTACAAAGCACAGCGCACATTGCTCATGTGCAATAGGAAACCGGCGGTGAAGCCACAAGGTTTCACCACTGGTTTCCCTTAGTCAAGATGGCGGCATCAGCACCCGACAGTCGATTGAAGAATCAGCTCTAGGTGAGGACACCGCTCTATGCCTGGACCGGTAAGTGCCCTTATATTAAAAGTCAGCAGCCACAGTATTTGTAGCTGCTGCCTTTTAATTTTTTTGGGGGGAGGTGGCGGGGCCGGAACTCTGCTTTAAAGTAGAGCAGGGCTAAATAGCAAAAAATGGTCTGGTCATGAAGGGGGTAAAACCTTCTAAAAGTAAAGTGGTTAAACGGTGGTTAATTTTCTCCTCATTAATTAGAAATATGTAAAAATGATCTGCATGGTTCATACATTCTGTAGATGTGAATCAGGCAGATTCATTAGTATACTCAGTAGCACTATAATAAATCAGGGCCCACACCTCCATGCTCAAGTGTAAAAAAAACCTATAGAGAAATAGAGTTAGAAAATATACTTACCTTCTACATAGTGCCTAGGTAAGGGTGACCTCACAATCCTTGCAACAAGTTCCCGGAGAATGCACATTATTCCCAGGATCATGCCAGAAAGATTATGACATTGCATTGACATTGCATTGGGCTGTGCAGAAGCAGGCTATAAGGTTAAACTATTTACAAACTTGTCATACAATTTTAAATACTGTAAACCTTGCTTT